TGTTGTGGCATATATTCTTCCTAGAAAACCACAAGTTCCTGTCTTACCTGTTGGCTCAGGTATCCGCTCATCATGTCTTGTGTCATGCAGTCAGCTTGTGCCACCAGCTTACAGCACAAGTTACCATACAACGGCAGCCATGATGAAGCCTCCACTGACAGACCAATGGCAGAAAGTCAATCAGAACCACTGTGCAAGTCAATTATTAAAATGTGGCTTGTTTGCTCTTACCATTTTGCAGGATTATAAGGGAATGAGACTGGAAAGATCCCTCTGCCTGCTCCAAAACCAGTGTGGTGTACGCCAACAATGAGTATCGAGCACCTCTGTCACAAAAACAGAAACAGATATTACAGACATTTTACTAATATTACTAATCTAACAAAAAAAAATTTATAGGTAATGAACATATCCATCCTTGCATACAGTGGTATTGGGTTGGACTGGAGGAAAGTGTCTGGATCTCCTCCATCTAGAAGAGGGCAGAGTTTCCTGCCTGAGGATCTGCTAAAAGAGGAGCGCAGCTTCCTGGCCAGTTTTTTTGGAGTGTTGACAATGGTCGTCTCCTCCTCCAGTCCACAGCTATACAGCTCAAATGTCAGTTCAAAGTCTGGCTTCGCTTCAGAGCTGTTGAAAATATTGAAACTGAGCTCAGAACTCAGAGGCTATTCAACAGTCAGGCTATAGTTCTCAAATCACTATAGATTTGCAGAGAGAAATAGGGTAAGCTGAGAACTTACTAAATTTTGACACCTTCAAAGCAAATATCAGTCACTGAGGGATCTGCAATCACCATTTCAGTGTCAAAAATCTCTGAGCCAATCTTCATCAAACAGAAAACTGCCACCCGCTGCACATCTGTTGGGTTCAGATACACATGACAACAGCATAAACAGCTATATGAACATATTTGCATATATTTTTAATACCATTTAAAATATCTGGTTTCCATTTTAATATACAGTGGTGTGAAAAAGTGTTGGCCCCCTTCCTGATTTCTTATTTTTTTGCATGCTTGTCACACTTTAATGTTTCAGATCATCAAACACATTTAAATAGTAAAAGATAACACGAGTAAACACAACATGCAGTTTTTAAATGAAAGTTTTTATTATTAAGGGAAAACAAAATCCAAAACTACATGGCCCTGTGTGAAGAAGTGTTTGCCCCCCTGTTAAAACTGTGGTTTATCACACCTGAGTTCAATTTCTCTAGCCACACCCAGGCCTGATTACTGCCACACCTGTTCGCAATCAAGACATCTCTTAAATGGGACCTGCCTGACAAAGTGAAGTAGACCAAAAGATCCTCAAAAGCTAGACATCATGCTGAGATCCAAAGAAATTCAGAAACAAATGAGAAAGTAATTGAGATCTATCAGTCTGGAAAAGGTTATAAAGCCTTAATTTTTGCAGTCTTCATTGTCACACATTGCTTCAGAAATCATTTTAATATGCTAATTCGGTGCTCAAGAAACATTTCTCATCCATTTTGAAAACAGCTGCTTAGTATTTTTGAGGAAACGGTGATAATTTTTTTCAAGATTCTTTGATGAATAGAGCAGCATTTCATAAAAAAAATAGAAAGTGATTGTGACATGATAATGTCTTTACTGTCATTTTTGATCAATAAAATGCCGTTACTTGATAAAGTTATTAACTTCTTAACTTTTAAATGGTAGTGTGCAAGCAAAACCATACATTTATTACAAGTAATAAAATCAAAACAGGCACCATTTGTCCATAACATTAGCAAGGACGGGATATTTTTATAATAATTACAATATATACTTACTCCCTTTGCTGTTAAAATGTTCTGTATCTTTCCAAAACAATGGAATTCGCAGGCTTGGATAAGCAAAAGAAAATTACATGAACCAAAGACAAAGTGATATATTAATACATATAACAGACACGGTTATAAAAAGAGAAAAGTTGTTAACTTACCAGATATGGCTACCTTTCCCTTACAAGGGATTTGGTCCAGAGAGTCTGAGGACCTAAAATAAAAGAAACAAGAATTTTAATGACCCTTTATTTCTTATATGCATCTCTGATAATAATTAACATTCAAATTAAAACAACTTTCCACTAAATACTCTCAGCAAAAAGAACAGCTGGCAATACACCTGCTGCTCTAACCTTTTGATGTCCTGCTGCTCCTTCCTCCTCTGGGCTTCACTCATGTAGGCTTTAATTTGGGCATTACAGGTTAACAGACTCCTGGAAGCATCCAACACCTGCTCTTTTTTAGTGCAGGCAACCAGAAGCTTGTAAGCCCCAGCTCTCATCTGCATCTCAAACTCCAACTTCTCCTGAATATCACAGTCCTATTGAAAGGATGCAATCCATCAGTCAGGAGAAATAAAGTAGCTTTATGGACAAGTGCTCTCAAAACACAGTTCTGGGTATAAAGACTAGAGGAAGAACGTACTGGGAGAGATTCATGAAGAGATGAGATATGTGACCCTGGACCACAAAACTTTAAGTCGCTGGGGTATATTTGTAGCAATAGCCAAAAATACATTGTATGGGTCAAAATGATCGATTTTCTTTTATGCCAAAAATCAAAAGGATATTAAGTAAAGATCGTGTTCCATGAAGATATTTTGTTAATTTCCTACCGTAAATATATCAAAACTTAATTTTTGATTAGTAATATGCCTTGCTAAGAACTTCACTTGGAAAACTTTGAAGGTGATTTTCTCCTTTTTTTTGCACCCTGATTCCAGATTTTCAAATAGTTGTATCTCGACCAAATATTGTCCTACCATAACAAACCATGCATCAATGGAAAGGTTATTTATTCAGCTTTCAGGTGATGTACAAATGACCCTTATGACTGGTTTTGTGGTCCAGGGTCACATATTGGGCACACCTGGTCTGACTCTGGACACTGAAGAAATGAAAATGATGCAAAGTAAAGTAACATCAAAACAGATGAAAGAGAAGAGGAGCTCACCCTCCTCTAAGCTATTATCATATAAAAGGAAAAGAGGGTCTCTGACAACCAACAACGACGCATGGATTGATGAAAGTTAGTGGAAGTCCGACTCATTTCTGCGAATCGGTTCTTTTGAACAGTATGTTTTAAAACTTCGATTCAATGATTCTTTTGTCCATAACCATGTGGACCCCGGTGTATTACATTTAATCATTTAGCAGATTTTAGTATCGGACCTATAGCGCTTTTTAACCAAAGCGACTTACAAATTAGGACAATAGAAGCAATCAAAACCAACAAAAAAAGCAAAAAATATGTAAGTGCTGTGACAAGTCTCGGTTAGTTTGACTGTAACGCAGTACACGAAAAAGAAAACAAGCCGATAGAAAAGAAAAAGAATAACGTAGAGAACGCAAGGTTAGTGTTAGAGGGTAATTTTTTAACAAAAAGAAAACAAGCAGTTAGAACAGAATACACCTGACTCCAGAGGAATCAGACTTTGATCGGATTTTGGTTTAAATGAGTCAGGAGACTTGTTGACGCGAGGACTGTTCGCAATGATTCGGTCCGAGTCGTGAACCGAAGGGTTCGGTGAATCGGTTCAACAGATTTAAAGTTCGATTCACATGAAACGATTCGTTCACGTGAGTGGATGGTGAAGAGGAATCGGACAAAACAACCTAAACACTCACACTTTCTAAAACGCAATGCTAATTTTAGAGCTGTGTGATGATGTTTCAGAATTAAATAGACAAGATTATTTTTATTTGCACCGAATCATGAATTGTTTACCCCATTGAGGCATTTCAGTACAGAACACAGAATACCAGTGAAACATGAACACACGCTCCCATACACAGACTACCTTTAGTTTCTTAGAAATCTGTCGTATGTAACGTTACAACAAATGCATGTCTTCTATTATCTGCTGCGTGTCATTCACACTTGCGCGTCGCTTCATATGTCTGTCTTTGGCCTGAGGAAGTATTTAATGAGCCGGTTAGTCTTGAACAATAACAAACACATTCCAGACACGAAAAACCAAAACGTGAGCTTCAGCAACACAAACGGACCTCGTTTTGAAAAAACATGCTTTCTCTTATTCTCCACAGCGAGAGAGGAACACGACGATACCGTGGACCGAGTGGCAATATTTCGTTTAAAATGTTGAATATCCCGCGGCGGACCCATACTGGCCTCTTCCTCAAGACAAGCCCCTCTCGCACAACAAACCAACGGATTACACAACCGCCAATCCACCAATCAGCTTCTTTCAAAGCTCTCCGTTGCCGACACAACAGTTGGGCGATACCATTTTTAAATTCGTACGGGTTGGAATAGCGATACAGCTAAGTAGGTTTGCATTTATAAGTTGGGTTTATTAATACGTTTTTGTAACATTCAAAATAATCACCATGTAAAATACATTTTAAGCATGTTTATGCAAATAGTCATGAAGTGGGTTTGCGTTATCACTGTGGCTTTTGTGCTCATGTCCCCCGTCTGTCTTAAAATAGTTTAAACTGATGGTCTGCCGCACTGTAGTGATGGGAAGTTCGGATCATTTTACCGACTCGGACCTTTGAGTCTCGTTCAGCGAAATGAACGAATCTTTTTTCGAGTCATTTTGTTCATTTTAGCAAAATATAATTAAAATGTTACATGTTACTTCCCTAACACGTCTACTACTTACGCAAACGTTGATCACACTACAAACAATACAAAACTGCTATAAGAAACAGAAAATATTAATTAATTGTTTACCTGGGTCTTCAGTCTATGATTAGCTCACCTCACCTCTTATCTGACAAGTCTTCGGGTTTGGGCTTCTGGGGCTTCACGTGATGAATGAACGACTCAAACCCGAAGACTCGAACCAGGTGAACTACTTGACTATTTCCAGTACAGGACCTATAGGATGTTGCGCATGCGCGACTGAACGAATCACTCCCCGAGACGACTCGTTCTTCCCGAGTCACATTAAAGATTCGTTCAAAATGAACGAATCGTTCAAGAACGACCCAACACTACCGCACTGCATTCTAATGAATCCTCAGTGTTCTGACCGAATCTTTTTTAGAGCGATTGTAATTTAACACATAATTCGATGACATTTTGCACACGAAAACTGCATTCAGCATCATATGAAAAGAAATCAATGTCACCTCTGTCGCTGCTGTCACGCTCATTCTTGACAACGAGGGTCACCACTGGGGTTCGGACAGAAATATCAAGCAACAGATAATCCGAAGGATCAACAGTTTGATTAAAGGTTACAATACACAATCCCACTGGAGCTCGTTCAATAAGGTATGGTTGCATGCTTGGTGTTATAGAAAATGCCAGCTGACTACCTGTCTGATTTCAGACTCTGGCCAGTAGAAGATTTGCATACATTTCTCTAGCAGTTTTAGAAGGTATAGAAAAATTATGGGTCATTAAAATGTGAGATGACACGATCGTCGGTTGATTTAAGCATATAAGTAAACCATTAAAACAAATGCATTTGATCTCACCATAGGTGCATGAATTTGATTAGCCAAAGCTTTACATTAACCAGTTTACGCCGTGGATATGCTAAAGTTAATAGAGAGAACATACTCAAATGCGATTTCGTGGTTATCAGTGGATGGAAATGATCTTGTTTTATTCTGAATTAATATATATATACATATATACAGTATCTCACATTTGTTCTGACACCCCTCACATTTTTGTAAATATTTTATTATATCTCTTCATGTGACAACACTGAAGAAATGACACTTTGCTACAATGTAAAGTAGTGAGTGTACAGCTTGTATAACAGTGTAAATTTGCTGTCCCCTCAAAATAACTCAACACACAGCCATTACAAGCTGTACACTCACTACTTTACATTGTAGCAAAGTGTAATTTCTTCAGTGTTGTCACATGAAGAGATATAATAAAATATTTACAAAAATGTGAGGGATGTCAGAACAAATGTGAGGGTATCTCACTTCTGTGAGATACTGTATATATATATAGCACGCAGTTAAAGGCACAATATGTAAGATTTTTTAATTAAAATATCCAAAAAGAACTTTCAAATGTATCTAGTATGATAAAACAGCGCTGCTTTACCCCACATACGCACGACCGGAAGGAGCGGAAGCGGTCGACTGTGGCATAATAAAAGCTCCGCTGCTTTCGAGCCATGTGTCGCGCTCGTTCAGTGGCCTCATTTCGCTTCGACGGCTTTCAATCTCACCCTGCTTCATTCTACTACATTAATAAATCATTAGCTCATCCATGAACATGATTTCTGCCTGAGTCCCGTCGGATTGTATCGGCTGTGGGGATGAAGACCACAACTCCCATGATTCCACACTCAGGGCCCTATCATACACCCAGCGCAAGGCACGTCACAAGTGTTTTTGATAGTTTCAGCCCAACACAGTTCTCATTTTCCCATTCTGTGCCGCGTTGCTTAAATAGCAAATGCATTTGCGCCCCTTTGTGCGCCTCAATAGGGTGCTGGTCTAAAAAAGAGATGTGTTCAGGTGCATTGTTGGCGCGTTGTTATTTTGAGGAACTGAAAATAGACTGCACCATAGACCAACTCAAACCTGGTCTAAAGTCTGGCGCAATATTTTTTCTTTGTTATTTAAAGAGCGCGTTAGTAAAATGTGCCTATAGGCGGGTGCACAACGAGCATACACTTTGCTTATTACACACACAGGGACGCGCAGCAGCACACAAACATTTTTAAATATTAAAAATTACAGTCCGCCATGTAAATAGCGAACCCGCCATGGCGTGAGCGCAACTGGCTTTTAAAGGGGATGGGAGATGACCGACCGTTTTCCCGTCGTTAAACTAGCAAAAGTGGATTCAGACATGCCCTCAGTGCACCTGCGCCGTGTGCTTTAGACCATGCGCTTAGATCATTAAAATAGGGCCCATAGTCACGGCGTCATCAAACTACGCCATTGCATCTTTGTTTATTTTGAATATGCGCCCTCTAGCGGCGAAAATTACATATTGTGCCTTTAAGTCTTAAGTGTTGTTGTCAGTTTTCTGTCGCCATCAGCATGCTCTCTTTTTTTGTATTTCAGTAAGTTAATATACATTCATACATTGTGTCTGTGTTAGGCCTTGTGAAAAGCTTGCTAGATTAAAATAGCCAGTTAGCCAGCGAGGTTGTCGACCGATATGAGTTTTTCAATGGCCATGCCGATATCTAGGGTGGCCGATATAATATTGATACTGTCCAGGGCAAACTGTCACACATTTACTCCATTAAATATTTCCCAGCTTAGGTTCATTTTAAATAAATTTCTGTATGTGCTACAAAAATCGCTTGAGCATTTCCACCAGTTTTGCCTAGGAAAAAACATGTGAAAAATGACTAAATGTGAGAAAAACACATAAACGTCTCTTTAATACTGAACACAGTTCTTAAATCTTTTACTTATAAATTGAAAGCTACTGTTCAAAATTCTTCTTCTTTTTAGATTTTACCTTCAGAGGCTAACAGCTCTTTGCTAACCAACTCTTGACCAGTTGGTGACCGCTTCACCCATCCTGGCATTAATGAAAAATAAAACGTTTCACATTCATTTTTTTTATGTTAAAAACTTTTTTTTTTCAATATTACTCAAAAATCACAAAGAATGTTGGCATTATATGCATATAATGTGCATTGAGAAAAAAACCTTCACATATTTCTCAAAAATCATTACAAATATTTGGCATTTTTTGCAAGCTGTACCTTGACAGGACAATTTTTAACATATTACTCAAAAATTGCAATAAATATTTGCATTATATAAAAATAATGTGCATTGACAAAACATCTTTTACATTGTACTCAAAATCATTACAAATATTTGCATTATATGCAAATAATATGAATTGACAAGATAATTAAAAAATATTACTCAAAAATCATTACAATTATTTGTATTATATGCAAATAATGTGGATTGATAAGATCATTTTTTATATATTATTCAAAAATCACTACAAATATTTGCAAATATGTAATATTTTTGTTGTTAGGTTATCTGTGTCATGCAGCAGAAAGTGTGCACACGCAACACAGTGCTGTTTGTGAAGAACGGGCAGGTGTGTGGAGCCGGAGCCCCTCCTCAACTTCCTTTCCGCTGCCCTCGATGTGGAGAGCATGAACGATTCCACAGTCTTTCTTCTCTCAGAGCTCACCTAGAATACAGCCACCCGTTCCACACTAAACATGACATCAGCCTCCTATCCACAAGGGATCTCTCTAACACAGAGCGCATGGAAAGTTGCAGACCCTCCAATTCCGACATGCATAAAGTACATGATGCCGGCACGAATGCTAATTCCACTGCTAGAGGAGAGCACAAGCACTTATTCGGTGCTGACCAAACTCCATCGCAGCAGCCCGCAGAGCAAAAGCTCACGCCCCCAGAGAGGAGCCTCAGTATTGGGGACGCGTCGGCCGGAGCCGGAGCCGGACCCCTCTCGGCTCCTGTGGCGTCAGTGGAGAAGAGGCTGGAGGGGATGATGAGGACAGCCAATAGCAGCATGGAGCGACGTCTGCTGCGGCTGAGCTCAGAGCTGGCACAGACAGACACGGCTATCCTGTGTGAGCGCGCTCACTGGCATAACCTGGCCCAGGAGAAACAGGAAGTGCTGGAGCGAGAGCGGGCGCTCAGCCGACAGGTAGACACTGCCGTTATGGTGATCGCCACACTGAGGCAGCAGCTCAGCATCTCAGAGCACGAGTTGGAGAGGAGAGAACAGTGAGTGAAAGATTTAAATGTTATTTAACCTCTGTAAAGACAAGGTGCCAGAACACAGTCCGCGTAATCAGATTCTAAACCCTATAAATTTACTGTATCATATTTGAAATGGAAAAAAAGACCTCTAAATTATCAACATGATTTGCTAATGATTTGTTGTACACAATCTCCTCCATGCCTTCTGTCATGTGATGGATAGTTTGTACTTTTTAGCAAGTAAAAGTCCATTTAGTATACTTATAAAAATGTCCCCCTTCAGGTTGTGTCTTTTTGCTGTGAAAGCTTTACAGATTTTTAGAAACTAAATGTAAGAATAACTTTTATATTGTTAGTTTTATATTGATTTACTGGACTGAAGCAAGTTAGGTTTTAGGGATGTTCATTTGAACCGTTTAGTTAACCGACCGTAAGAATTTTGACCGATTAATACAATCAGTTAAATGGTTTAAAAAGTCATTTAATTATTTATTTTTTCAGTAATTTATCAAAATATTTAAAAAGGTTTGCTGCATGGTTTGTTTTTTAGGGGGGAAAACATAGGCCTAAGTCGCGTACAAGTCGCATTTTATTGTTTCAATCAGAAATAGGCCTAATGCCGACGCGAAATCTTTACAAACATTATAATAAACACTGTAAACATAGCTAGGCTATTTTAGTTCCCCTCACTCCACAACAAAACCTTTCAATTAACAGTATTTAGAAAAGAACAAGAATTAAAAATAAAAGAAGCTATAGCGACATAAACGAATTCATTTCAGGTTATAAAACGAAACTGGAACCAACGTTGGGTCACTCATTCCACACAAAATCAAATGTTTCCGTATTCGCGATGTATTTGAATGGCAAATTATTATTTATTATGTAGCCTAGGCTTCACTCGCGTTCCAATATCCATGCAAAACATTTTGTTTTACGTGGATATTGGAACGCGAGCGAAGCCTAGGCTACACTCGCGTTCCAATATCCATGCAAAACATTTTGTTTTACGTGGATATTGGAACGCGAGCGAAGCCTAGGCTACACTCGCGTTCCAATATCCATGCAAAACATTTTGTTTTACGTGGATATTGGAACGCGAGTGTAGCCTAGGCTTCACTCGCGTTCCAATATCCACGTAAAACAAAATGTTTTGCATTATACTACATCGTTTTTTTCCATATGTTTGACTGACTGTATTTTATTATGATAATGAACAGACTGCATTGTCAAGGCAACTGTGTGCGCGCATGCAGCTCCGGCGCAATCACTTGAGTTTTTTCCTTCTAACAGTGGAAGCAACTACTTTTTTTAGTTCTAAAGATAATCGATATTGTAAAAGGTTTGCCTTTATTTCTGTACATTCACAATAAAAACAAATCTTTGTGCTTTTGTAAAATAAGCCTAAAGAAAAATAGGATGCCGCTTTCTGTCGTCTGTTTCCTTTCGAGCAGCACAAAAATGAACCGAATCTCTTCATACTAGGCTACTTGTTGCACAGTTTTTCTTTCATTTTCTTAATTTATTATTTAAGTAAAAATATGTTTCTCATATAGGCCTATTTAGAATTCTAGCTAGATTTAAATGTTTTCTTTACTTGCCCGACCGGACAAGTTAAGTAAGTTAAGTTAAGTAACATACCTTATTTTAATTAATATTCAGCTATTTTGCTGAATATTCTCATGACGCAAAAAAGCATTCAAAACACCTAAAGAGTGCACGCATTACGTGAAGTCTAGTGCGCTCTTTCACTGCATGATTCAGTCTATTAAAATACATTCAGAAAGATCACAAATTCAAGATATGGGGGCAGAAAATGTATATATTTATACCACTTCATATAGTTAATACATTTCACATTAAGAGTGAATTCATGATTTCCAAAAATGAAATGAATTCCAAATGAATCCAAAAATTACCATGATTACAAATGTAATAGATTTCTTTTTTTTTTTACAACAGTTCAATAAACTAGAAGTTTCTTATGTTTTAGACACCATATTACCTGTTTTTGCACCATTTCGACAACAACTATAATTCCAAACAAAGCCACAGCGCTGTTTTGCGTCTCTGAGCAACATGACTGTGTTTCGTTCCTAAATGAATCAAACGTTTAAATGATTCGGTTCAATCGCAATGACTCGCATATTAACAGTGACTTGCTGCCACCTACTGGCGGTTTTCATTTCACATTTAAAGTAACTTTTTATTATTTAAATAATTTCAAATATCAGTATTCAACGTATTATGTTTAATATATCAAAACATTATTTATGCATTGGTAAAAATAGGCCTTTGTAAAGGTAAATAAAAATATGCAGTATGTAAAATAGAACACTGATTAAAATGTTGCTTCAGAATAAATAGTTTACACCACCAAAAATATTGGTGATGCGGTGGTGCTTTTGTGGGGATATTTTGCATGGAATATTGTCTTCTGATATGAAAAGTTCACTGTATATCTTAAATATAATTTATTACAGTGATGATGTTTTGTTTTTACGTTAAACACATTAAATATTACATATATGTATGTAATATAATGTGTATTTCCATTACAGGTTTAGGTCTTACATTTCATATAAGGTGGTATTAAAAAGGTCTTAAAAAGTCTTAAATTTAACTTGTTCATGTCTGTAGAAACCCTGTGAATAAATAAGCTTTCCATTGATGCATGGTTTGTTATGGTAGGACAATATTTGACCGAGTCGCCGAGATACAACTATTTGAAAATCTGGAATCTGAGGGTGCAAAAAAATTTAAATATTGAGAAAATCGCCTTTAAAGTTGTCCAAATGAAGTCATTAGCAATGCATATTACTAAACAAAAATTATGTTTTTATATATTTACAGTAGGAAATTTACAAAATATCTTCATGGAACATGATTTTTATTTTACTTAATATCCTAATGATTTTTTGCATAAAAGAAAAATCTATAATTTTGACCCATACAATGTATTTTTGGCTATTGCTACAAATATACCCCAGCGACTTAAGACTGGTTTTGTGCTCCAGGGTCACACATATATATATATATATATAGCCTAGCTTTATGATGTTTTTCTCCGCTGGCAGAAGCGCTGCAGGTACGTGATGTGGTATGAAGACCATGTGAATCCTCATGTTCTGTTGTTTGCTGCTTTTTGCGCATGTAAAATGAATCCCCGGAAAACAAATGTTAGTATTTTTAACAGGTCACAGACACTTATCCTTTCTAATTTAATTCAATTCTAATTAAAAATAATCTTGTCGGTTAACGAGCGTCAGTTTTCGGTTAGGAAAAATAACCAAAATGAACATCCCTATTAGGTTTACTTGATTAATGAACACATTTTTTTTAATTTAGAAAAATCATGTTAAAATGTATCAGATATGATACACTAGGCTATTGAGGAATGTTTATTTATGTCTTTCAATCATCATTGTATATTGCATTGCATTAAATGTCTCCCTCCACACATAGCCTACAATAAAATCTACAGAGCTTTGATCATAAAACCAAGCACTAAATATTGTCTCATTAAGACATATTATTGGGAGATGTAAAACTGATAAACTGATATTTATATGTATTGTAAGTTTGTTATACTTTTATAAAGAGTTCATTGATTACAATACATCAGAATTGCATCTTACATTTTGGCCATGCAAATATGAGCAAATCTATCAAATTGCATATTTTTGCTCAGTTTGGACCTCTGAATATTGTGTGTGTGTGTGTTTTTCTTTCTTTCTTATTCTTCAGTGTCATATTACATGAGCCATAAGAAAAAAACTTAATATTTTTATATTTTGTCTTAGGTTCATTAAACTGTTCCATTAAAAAAATCTGATTGTCAGGATTTACAGGGTTAAAAGAACAGCACACATTTATTTTTCAACTTTTATTTCCTCGATGGAACACAAAAGGAAATGTTTAATAGAACGTCCGGGCTGCTCCGTACAAGCATTTTTTGAAGACGTTTTGAAAAGTCTCCTTTTGTGTTCCAAGGATGAAAGAAATCGAAAGCTATAAGATTGGAACATGAGGGGGAGTGTATTATGATGAAACTGAGAAATTGCTCGGCCCTGCTGCTCATTTTTTACATTGGTTTTCTTAGAGGTAACAAGAAACAGAAGGAAACATGACTGTTAAGGGGAAAATAAAATAAAAAATATCTCATAAAGCAGTTCTCTGATAACTACGCTTTACTATATTGCAGGGAAGTTATTACCATCCAGAAGTTTCTGGAAGCAGCGGCGCAGCATGAGATGTGTGGGAAGGTTCGTTTGCGTCAGTTCATTGAGAGCCTCTTGCGGAGGATTTTCCTGGCCGAGAGACTACTGGAATATTATCAGAGCGTCCCCCACAGGCATTATTGCACGGCTCAATCTGTATGTCAATAAAATTTCCATAAAAATGTGTATCTCATGCCTTTATAAAAAAACATTTTTTTATGGTTTTGAAACAATAATTTTCCCCCCAATTAATTTATTTATTTAGTTTGTTTTTTAAAATGTAATTCATTTTGGACTCTTGCATATTAAGTTTTCTTTAGGCCACTCCATTTGACCTAAACAAAATGCATTTTCATAAAAAGGTCGAATCTGATATTGACACGAAGCTTCATGACATTTTATAATAATTAAAAATAGGGATGCACGATATATCGGCCACCATATCGGTATCGGCCCATATCGGCTCATTTTTTCTGTTATCGGTATCGGCCTGATAAGAAAATTTGGCCGATATCTTAAAGCCGATAAATAATGCATTATTTCCTTCAGAGACACTTCAGATGCGCGCTGTTCGTTTGCAGCCTTTTGTGCAATTGTACATTGTAATATTGTGTTTATTTGATGTATATCTGATTTATCTCATATAGAATGCGTTTGGTTAAGTTAAAAGAGCGCTTCAGTTTACCGGTGATCATCTTTAGCTCAGCACACGCAGCCCAAACAGCAGTGCACAACATTAATAACTATGATTGGGAATGTCGTGTATATAAAATTCTAATGAGAACATTATTATAATAAAACGTTGGGAATTCTTTGGGTTTAGTTGCCGTGTTTCAGCGCGTTGTTATGGGAAGAGCGCATCCACAACAGGATCACACATTCTGACTATAGCACGCAATAACTGCATCATTTTGTACATATATAAGTTGTAATATTATGTTTATGTTGTATTAATATTAATCTCAGGATGCATTTCCTTGAGTTAAATAAGCTGCCAGCAAAACGCTTCAGTTTACCATGTTCATTCAGCTCTTCAGCTTCAGCACGCGCAGCTCAACGGCTGCTATTTAAAACAGTGGTATTAATTTGTTACTTTTTCAAAATCATCGATACATTATTAATAACAACAACCACTTGTATTGTTCTCTTATTATTTTCATCAACAATATGGTTTAGTAATTAAAATCATTTAATTATTGTCCGTGCAGAGGCTATTCCGTTTTATTGATCTATGGCGCATTCATTTTGATTCTTTACACGTGTAATGATGTCCAGTGACTTGTTTGCATTATTTATGCATAATTTTATTTATTTGTAAGACTTTTTTATGACTAAATTTGGTAATGGGAGAGTAAAAATATTTTTAAAACGTACACCGTTCAAACTAGGCTGCTTATGTTGAAGTGTTTGGGATGTGGCTTTTAATGATGAGATGTAATCAGGCTCTCAAAAAGTATATAACAATTTGGATATAGAGTTATCGGCCAACATATCGGTTATCGGCTTTCAAAAATAAAGAATAATCGGTTATCGGTATCGGCCAAAATTTTCATATCGGTGCATCCCTAATTAAAAATTTAAAGTAATAATAAAACAAAGACCATGCCTATATTTAAAGAATTTTTGCTCTTTTTTCATGGCAAAAACACTCTTTTTTTTTATTTTATTTTTTCAGTTACACCACCATTTTTCACTTTAAGCCCTCCAAAAATACTAGAATGAATTATATTTCAGAAATTGAAAAAGTATTTTCATATGCATTTTTATATGAATTGCATTTTCAGTGTATTTTTAAACAAGGAAGAGTGTCAAGTCATTGACCCATGTACTGATGTAAAAAAGGAAATTCAATAATGAATCACCTGATATGACCCACTTGTGTGATTTTCCAGCATTGCAATAATGAACTTCTATTTCAGAAATATGTCAGTCCTCTACATTTCTCTAATTTGTCATTATTTCAGGTGCCTCTGCCATCAGAGCCCGGTCCACACAGAATAACACAAAGCAGGTATTACATTATTGGTTTTACTTTAAGAAGGAAAGTCACATTACCCCAGTAATGAGTAATTCATGTAACCATTTGACCTCTAGTTTCCTACACTTAACAACCAGCAGAACATTTTCAGAGCATTTCTATATAAATCATGTCCTTATTTGACTCAAGGCACTCGTTTGGCTTGTAGTAGAAGGATGTCCCCTCTAAGTAATTCATTTGATCCTATCAAGAACGTAGTAGATCATGTTGCCCTGCCATAAATAATAATTACCCTTCTTATTAAACACACTTGGTTCATATGTGCGTTGGATGATAATAATTGTCTTATTTTGCTGTTCTTTGACATCAGCTCTTCAGGAGACCATCTTGAGCAGGATGAAGAGCAGCAGTTACTTGGTCAGTCTGGATGGGGACTGTCTAAAGGTTCTTCTGAGAGACTGGGTTACGACAGCTGGTCCCAGCAGAGGACGTCAGATGGGTATGAGGTTTAGGGACAGAAGTGGAGCTTAGCAATGAATGTACATGCAAATAACACTATTTCAGATATTACTGAAATATGTTGAATATATTAATAATTATACAGTGGAGTCCAAAGTCTGAAACCAGATTGAAAATCTTTTTTTTCTTTTCTGGTAATTACAATACGGTACCATTTGGATGAGTGTTTTTTTTTTTTTGTATTATTATTATTTTTATTTATATAGCACATACTTGTTTTTTTGTTTTTTTTACAAGGATTCATTGAATTGATGAAAAGTGACAGTAAAGAAATTTCTAACAATGAGCAATATTTAAAGTCATGATAGCTTGCAGTTGAGTAGGTGGGCCAGATGTTGATTTAGTAACCATGCTCACTGATTCATTGAGTTTTCATGATTACAAGAACCTGACTACTCCAGTCTGCCTGTATGTTTGTTTTTACATGCAAAATCATTTCAGGTTGCCAAATACTAAGAAATGTTGATATTCATGTTAAATTTTCACTAGAAACAGACTTTTGGACACCACTGTATGTAAATATGAGTTCTACAAAAGCCCAATAAACAACAGCGATGTCCAACTACAGATAGCAGATTAGTTATTTGATACTTGAATGTGATTATAGTCCATCTGTGAAATATTTTAATGATAAGATTTGCTGTAGAATGAACACATGGTGAAGCTGCCCTTTAATTCAAATAGATACAGCTGTCAAGTTGCTAACATGAAGTGAAGCTATAGTTAGTAATGTTACATGCTTGTTGTTTTCTAACTAACACTACTGTTCAGGAAAATGAATGTAGTTATATTATCTAAATGCAGGATGATGTTAAAACAAAACCTGTGCCGTACAGGTCGGATCTTATGCCACTTAAAGCTTGTAGTTTGTTCACAAACTTTCTCTCATTGAAAATGCACTGTTTCAGCAAGAAGAAAAAGTATGTAGCAAATATCGAAATCATTTACTTGGGACTTCTTTTTTTTTTTTGAAGGTGCTGATGTGTATTTTTAACAGTGGTGCTACATTTTTTGGGATGAATATACATTTCCCTGCTTATGTTAACCAGCCTCATTAGAAGGAGAGGAAGAGGAAACTGTAACAGAGAAGAAAGTTCTCTTTCGTTTTAAAACATGCAGCTATTGGAATATGTATAGATGTTGTTAAGTGTTCTTAAATTAATTGCCAAGAAGTTTGATTATAGATCCTTTTTGCCTTTTTTTACAATTGGAGCAATTGCACTTATGGTCTTTGGCTGAACTGTGAAACGATTCTGTTAAAAAATGTACTTTCATTTAAAGAGATAGTTTACCCCAAAATGACAATTCTATCATCATTTACTCACCATAGAGCCCTGTGAAGATATTTTGAGAAATGTTTAGAATTTTTTGTCAGTGGTCGACCAAGCGGTTTACAGACTGGTTACCAGCATTCTTTAAAATATCTTCTTTTGTGTTTCACAGAGGAAAGAAATGCAGGTTTGGAACATCACAAGAGTGAGTAAAAGATTTGGTATCAAAATGATTTAATTTTGAGAATTTTCATTTCTGGGTAAGCTATCCCGTAAAATAATACTTATTACAGGATTTAAGTCCTTAACTTAAGTTGCACCTAGCACTGAAATCAAATGAATATTCAGTATTCAAAAAAGTTAAGCTCTATGGACAGCTTCTGACTGTTCTAACTACTGTTCTATTTACAAGCTAAAGTAAAGTCACGATTCATTTTGGTGGCATTCAGTAGCATGTTACAGATACCATAAAGCTGAACTTGTACAAAAAGCTAAACATTTTAATTCCCAGGCAGTTCATTCTCGGCTCTATAAAACTGGAGCAGTAGCACTTATTCTCATCTTGGGCAAAACTGTGAAACAATTCAGACAATAGCGGTATACTACCAAAGTACTACAAAAGAGGACATCGGATGCCCATTTTTCACAAGTTGGTATGATTCTTTAGGGTCTTCATGAAATGTCTGCAGCATACTTTGGTTAAAATTCCTCAGCGGTCGTGTAAAACAACACAATTTTTACCTCATCAAAAACAGCCCTGTTCACAGTGACGTTTCAGTGCATGTCTCTTTAAATGCTAATGAGCTACTCCACCCCTCTCCAATATATCCATATATGGTTCAGAGGTGGTCTTATTCAAATAGCTAGCTATCTACATAGAAGCTGTCTGCAAATTGAAACAGCTGCTGGATGACACAGTCGGCCCATTAAAAACTTTTTTTTTCAGCTTTTCTAAGCTGGCAGACACGCCAGTTACCTAACTAAATGTAAAAAAGCTAAAAAAGTGAAAATTTCATCCGATGTCCCCTTTGATGTACAAACAATACTGACATGCAGTATAACATATGAAGTATAATTTTATGAATGAAGAGGGTATTGTTTGTAAAACCAACAGACTGGAGGAACAGGGTAGTGCTTTTGGGCCAAACAAAGCAGTTTTGCTTTCACAATGAAACAGCGTCACACACGGCGGCCTAGAGTGAGCAGAGGCTGGGGGATAAAGTGAGGAACGGCCGGCTGGCTGAGTGAGCAGAGGCGGCGAATTCGACGAAGGAGCGTGGGCTTGCGGCAACCACATGTGACGACCCCGGGCTGGACTCCGCTTCGTCCTCGGTGAAAGCCAATCCGGCGATCCACAGCGCAAAGTTGTAGTATTTCCTCAGCGATGAGCACAGATCAGCTCCAGGCATGACGAAGCAGATATCGTCCTCTTTTGGAAGACCAAACAAAGTAGTTTCACTTTCACAACGAAGCACACAGCGTCTTCACGACATGGCGGCGGAAACAACAAAACTACAGCGAGAATAAAAGTTACGCCTTCTTTCTTTTCGTGAACATTTGGGCGGCGTTATGCAAATCTTCCCACATAGTGATGTAGACATGTGGGGGTGTGTTAGAACGAGCCGTTTTAGGTAGGAGTGGTTGACTCTTAACTTTTATAAAGAATATCTCTTTGGATTTGAGACTTTAGTCTTTGCAACTTTACAGATCTTCTTTATGCACCAAGAGCTTGTAACCCTCCAAAGAGAAAGGAAAAATTTTAATCGCATCGTATGACCCCTTTAATAGATTGTAGTGGTCTATAAAGGGCCACTGCATGCACACACTTGGGTATGACCTTTATTTGACTTTAACTTCACAGCACTTTGACTTAATGGTATTCAAAATCAATGTTTTGTAAATACTAGTATGTATTTTTTGCGAGATGCAGGGTAGATCTCATCCACCGCACCTTAGTCTTGATATGAACCCAGTCAGTTTTAGGGGGAAAAAAGGCAAACGAGGGCATTTGCTTACATTTCAGCTCAGCCTACTTGTTTAGTTCAGTTTAAGCTCTGAATTTTTCCCATATTATTCTACAAGTTGCATGTGACGAGTTAAATAGGACCTCTTGGCTTTTTACCTTTTTAGAAAAAAGATATACTGTATATATATATATATATATATATATATATATATATACACAAAAAGCCCAGCAGAAAGAACACATGGCACTTGGATTTTGGGTTCAGAAGTCGAAAATATAAAAACGACTAGTTATAATTCTTGTTTTAAACTCTGTTTGTGCTGTTTGGTTCAGTGGTGGCAATGTCATCCACTCCATTGTGTGCTCAGTTCTGACTGTAATTAGAATCTTATTTTGTCTTTTGTGGTCTCTTCATGTTTCTGTGTCACTCGTTTATGTTGTGTTTAGTTAGAAAGAGATCTAAAGTACTGTAGTGCTGTGTGAGCATGAGTTAATTCACATCCATCAGTGTTTTATTGTGAGTGAGCATGCTATAATGCTTTATCCAGTGGCTAGTGCAATATGTGACAATATTTTCACGATGGGAGGAAAAGAAGCGGTACTGTACAGAAGAAATCTGGAGGACATAATAGGGTCAAACAAGGTCAAGGAGGGCTCAACCTACTTCACATAGGATTTTATAGGATTTCATTTATTTATTATTAATAGAATCTGAGACAGTGTTCCTATGTATCTCGTATCAGTACCAACTAATATATACTGAGCAGCACAATGTTCACATCACTGGTTCAGACCATCATTTATAAGAATTTACAATGTTTTTGGACTGACTGAAAATATAAAGATGGATGACAATAAAAATAAGATTGATAGGCTATTACTTAGTTTGCTACCATATTTCAAATAATAATAATATTTGGCCAATTGTGTAAATATTTGGCAATATGTTGTCAATATCAGGTTTGATTTTAAAATATACAATATGAGTGTCCGTATCAGTACACTAGCAGTCATATTTGGCTTTTTAAATCAGTATACATCTGATTAAGCCAATAATAGAGCAGATACTATAATATATATATATATATTCAAACTACATGGTTATTTATCTATTCTACATTATAATGTGTGCTACTTCAAGACTGAAGAATAGATTTTTGTTACATGAAAACAGGTATTTATAATGTCAGCCATCGTACCAGCCTTTGGCCATTACATTAAAATAAATATCAGCTGTTGTATCATAAAACTTAGTATAATGATGCATATCTAAAATGAATAGTTCTGTGAACTAGGTTGGACCCTAGAAATGTAGGTGTGCCATTATAGATGTGACAATCAGAAGTAGAACAAAGCTAAATAGCTTAAAGGTTTTTTGTTCTATTGTTTGCGGTTTCTTGATAATTATGAGTATAATTTGCGCTACTGTTGTGCCATGTTGTTTTCTGTTAAAAATATTGAATTTGTTTTCTCTAGACTTAATTATCTTAATGTTTGTGCCTTTCTCTTGAAGCATTGTCGTCTGTATTACACTTGTGATACTGTGAGATCTGAAGTCTCACGCAGTCCTTTGCTGCTGTATGTGATATTCTGAATAATAGAAATGAGATTAGAATTGATCATTAAAGATTGATTTGTTAATGCTATGCCTGTTTTCCATCTCTTGTGGCTATTGCAGCATTATTCAAATCTGAATGGTCATTCATTTGATCAGACCAACTTGTTTTACTGTATTTTTTTCCATATGATGTTCTAGATTTATATATAATTTTGAATTCATACTCAAACTTGGACTTTCCTTAATAAGATGAGATTTTAAATTCATCTTCACATGTCTTCAGTCTC